TCCATATTGGGTGTTTTATTTGTTTTTTCATATGTTTGACATTAATTTGTAACTTCACATGTCATTTTAAAACATAAATACAGTGTTGTTAAAAATAGTCAGTGTTGTGGAACCATCGCCACTAACTCCAGAGCATTTCATCATGCCCAAACCCCAATACCAAATAACCCATACTCATTAGTAGTCACTCCCCATGCCCTTTCCCCCTAGACCAGGGGTTCTCAACCTTCCTCATGCCGCGACCCTTTAATACAGTTCTTCATGTGGTGGTGACCCCCAACCACAACATTATTTTCGTTGCTACTTCATCCCTGTCATTTTGCTACTGTTATGAATTGGGCGAGCCCTGTGAAAGGGTCATTTGACCCCCCAAAGGGATCGCGACCTACAGGTTAAGAACCGCTGCCCTAGACCTTGGCAACCACTAATCAACTTTCTGTCTCTATGGATTTGCCTATTGAGGACATTTCATATAATGGAATCACACACTAGGTGTCTGCTGTTTTCACTTAGTATGTTTTCAAGATCATCCCTGTCGAAGCAGAAATCAGCATTCATTTTCATGGCTGAGCCACATTTCATTGTATGGATATCCATTCATCAGCCGATGGGCATTTTCTTCTCCTTTGTGACGATGGAGTCATACTGCAGGGATATTTTTGTGTGCATGAGGGTGTGACCAGTGGTCGATGGTCTTGGGTGTCTCTGGAATGGGATTCCCGAGGCACACGGAACGATTTAACTTTTTGAGCAACGGCCACAGTTTCCCAAAGTGTCTGCCGTCATTTAACATTCCCATCAGTACTGCATGAGAGTTGCAATTTGCCTACATCCTCATTTAAAAAAAATATTTTAAGGTCTTTTAAAATTTAATTTTATTGAAAGATCATCTTACTGGGGACTCTTACAAATCTTACAACAATCCATACATCAGTTGTATCAAGCATATTTGTACATATGTTGCCATCATTCTTTTCTAAACATTTACTTTCTTTTTTTTTCATTCTTAGCATAGTTTATTGAAAGTTGCTTATTAGTTTCATTTGTCACCGTTGACTTTTCTCAAGTACTTTGCCACCAATAAAGTAATTAATCATGTGTTTCCTACATGATTGATACAGATAGATAGATAGATGATATTTTTTAAAAATCATTTTATTAGGGGCTCATACAACTCTTATCACAATCCACACACACATCAATTGTGTAAAGTGCATTTGTACATTCATTGCCCTCATCATTCTCAAAACATTTCCTCTCCACTTAAGCATTAGGTCCTCATTTTTCCCCTCCCTCCCTGCTCCCCC